CCAGTCTGGTATTTTTAATTACTGTGTGTCATGTAGATAAATCTTGGGAAAAGACCAGTTGTTCTCAGATAAACCTTACCTTGGCGTATATCCAAAGAACTCATGCTATTGCAGAGACATGTGTACATCCTTGTTTGTTGCAGCTCTTTTCACAACAGCTAAGAGATGGAAGCAACCTAAGTGTCCCTCAGTTGAGGAGTGGATAATGAAAATGTGGTTCATTCATACGATGGAGTTTTACTCGGCGGTAAAGAAAGATGAAATCATGAAATTTGCAGGCAAATGGATGGAACTAGAAAGTGTTCTACTAAGTGAAGTAACAAGACTCAGAAAAAAAATCGACATATGTTTTCCCTCATATGTGGACCCTAGAACCAGACTCTAATAAATAAGTATGCAACCAGACATAACTACAGGAACCAGGGTAATGGAAAGGAAACAGGGAGATAAAGGAAAAGAAATAACGTGAAAAAGAACAGTAAGAAACAGGCCTTAATAAGGGAGATATGGATAAAAATTAGGTTAGTTTTGGGGGGGAGGGAATACAAGGAACCTAGGGGATAAAGGGAAAGAAGGAGCTCGAGAGGTAGGACCATAGGAGAAGGGTGTTATTAAGGGAAAAAGGGGGGGAAATGGGGGCACCTTAAGTGGGAAAACCATGATGGAGGAGTGAGACAATGTGAGAGATAAACAATGCCTAGCTAGTTTTGAAAACCAGAGGGAACCATATTACTCCTACAACCTACTGACAAATAAAAATATACATAGCAGATCAAGAAATATATGTCTAGGTAAGGTTTATCTGAGAACAACTAGTCTTTGCCCAAGATTTATTCATTTTTATTTTATGTGTCTGAATGTTTGCCTGCATATATGTATGTACACCCATGTTGTGTGATGCCCATGGAGATCAGAAGATGGTGTCAGATCCCCTAGAACTGGAATTGTAGATGTTGTTAGGTGTCCTGTGGGTTCTGAGAATTGTACCCAGGTCCTCTCCAAGAACAGCCAGCATGCTCTTAACCAGTGAGCCATCTCTCCAGCCTGTGAAAGAATAATGTTTAATGACTAGTTCTATACCACAGTGGAACAGCTGTCCCACGAGGTGGGGGCTGGTGTGTGTGCTGTAACAGAAACTAGACAGACAAACACATTCATTTACACAGATTGGGTACTGTACAAATGTGTCTGGTTACAGAGTAAGCACGAGCTGAAAACAAGTACGTTTCCCATACCAAGTTACAAACCGCCTCTTCCAGGGGGAGGCAAGAGCTTTTCTTCCTTGGAAATACTGTCAGCTTGCCAAGCTGTGTGCACAGAAGTCCATCTTTTTTTTAAAAAAATTTTTTTTTTTAGAATTTATTGAGAATTTCATACATGCATATAAGGTGTTTTGATCAAATCCATGCCCACTCCCTTCCCTCCAACTCCTCCCATATCTCCCCATCACTTTTTCCTGAACAACTTCATGTACTCTTTTTTTTTTTTTTTTGTCTATTTTTTGAGACATGGTCTCCTTGTAGGCCCAGCTGTCCTGGAACTCACTATGTAAACCAGGCTGGCCTCGAACTCACAAAGATCCAGCTGCCTCTGCCTCCCGAGTGCTGGGATTAAAGGCGTGTGCCACTACGCCCGGCTCTTTTTTATTTTTTATTTATCATTTTTATTTTATGTGTATGTGTGTATTGCCTGCACGTAGGTAAGTGCACCAGTGTCATGCAATGGTTGTGGAGAACAGAAGAGGCTGTTGGTTCCCCTGGAACTGGAGTTATGGACAGTTGTTAGCTTCCATGTGGGTGCTGGGATTCCAACCTGGGTCTTCTGAAAGAACAGTCAGTGTTCTTAATGGGCTGAGCCACCTCTCCAGCCGCCATCTTTCTTTTTTTATGGGGCCTTTTGCTACTCTAACATCCCCCCCTTTCTGAAGAGGTAACCCTAAAATCTTGTAGGGATTAGATACACGCTCCCAAATACTTTTGACATTTTTGGCCTTCAGAACAGAGTATGTTGCTAAGAGGGCCAGGACATTTTGATTTTTAGCCAAGATACCAGCTACTTTTCTTTGGGGTCTTTTTACCCTAACTGCCTAGCCAATTCCTACCTCCCATTCTTATCACATCATCCCCTGAAGCGGTTACCCAGCTTGTCAATAGGGACTCAGGCAGACTGCTCTGACTTCAAGTCCATCTTCTTTTAGTGCAAACTAAGACACTAAGTTATTCCTCTTCCCGCCTTTGGAGAAACTGTAGATAGCCCAAACTAATGGACAGGGAAATGCCTGGTGCAACATAACTAGATGATAATTAAAGTCCTTTCCAGCCTGGGATCCTGGTAGATCTCTTTGTTGGTTTTGCAAAATGGCCCCCACATTCCTTGACACTCCTCACATTGACAGGTGGGGGTCTTTTTGCCCTCATCTTAACTGGGGAATCTGTGGCTAACAGAATTTACACAAAAATGCCATTTTGCCACTATCTAAGCCCAGGGCTTAAGCAAGTGGCAGTTTCTACTTTCTCTCTCTTGGGACACTGGTTCTTGGAGAAAACAAACAAACAAACAAACAAAAAAACAAGCACCAAGAACTGTCTTGAAAGTGCCTCCTGTAGTTTAGGTACAAGGAGCAAAAATGATCTGTCACAGCCATGTTTGCTCATGCCCAGTGATGAGCAAACTCAGTGGCCCTTGTAGTAAGACACTGCATTTCACTGTAACTTCTTAAGCTGCCAGACATCTGTGATTCGATGTAACCAGAGCTCCAGCCTCACATTTCCCACAGCACACTTACCCAGCAGTGCCCTAAAGGACTCCAAGAAAGGCCTTCCTTAGGGAACCCTGACTAACCCACATGCTACAGGCAATGACTTCCGACCCTTTCCTCCCTCCCTCTCTGCCTCTACCCCATCTTAAGGAAACAGCGTTGTTGCCATGATAAGACACTGAGACCTAACTTCGGCCTTCTGCAGTGTCTCCCTCCTACTATTTGAATTGGGGCTTGTAGCGGGGAGAAACACCCATTTCTCTAAGCCATACTAGAACTTTCCACAGATTCTCCAGCCTCCTTCTTTGCTTTGGGCTTCAGGTTTGTAGTTTTGCAGCTCATTCTTGGATCCAAAGACCTGCTCCCCTCTTGGGCTCCTGAACTTTCCATAGGCTTTAGAGGAAGTGCAAGTCAAGCACAGGGATCAGGGGACAAAGGAGACACCACCCTTGGACTCTGGCTATCTATAGTTGCTCTTAGGCAGATGAAACCCGCCAGCACTCACCGCCCAAGAAACTTGAGTTTCTCCGGAGTCCTTGCCCAACTCTGACCTGGTCTGTTACACTCTCCCCTCCCTCCTGGACCTACCCCCCAACCTCATCTCAGGAAGGAAATAGTTAAAGACTCCTGCCCTTGAGTCGGGCGGTTCGGGGGGGGGGGGGGGGGGGGGGGGGGGGGGCGCTGGCCGCGTTGTGCGCCTGGTGGCTGCCTCCCCGGAGGGCTGGCGGGATAGGACGCTGCACAGCCGGTCCCAGGGTGGAGGGCAAGGTCTGGGAGCCTGCGGAGGGAGGATCGCGGGAGGCGTGTTCCTCCGGAGTCTGCTTTCCCCAGCCAGCCTCCTCGCACACACTTATCCCTCTGCTCTGGCGACTGGGCCGGAGAGGTTGGGGAGTGTCTGTCTGTCCCACCGGATCGCGGCAGGCCCGGAGAGATCTCCCCCCAGGGAGCCGGGCGCGGCCGCGGGAGAAGTTTCCTGAAGCCCAAGCAGCGGTGGCAGCCCAGGCCACCTACCCGCCGCGCTCCGCTCCACCCTAGCTTGCCGGCTCCCGCTACATCCAAGCCAGGCGCCGCAGGACCAGGCGCCGTCTGCGCCCTCCGAGCTCCATGGTCGGTGCAAGTCTTTCCTTCTGGGAATCGGGGTTGGGGCAAGGGACGGGCTCCCCGCCCGGGGCGCCCGGCTGGGAGGAGCGGGGAGCGGCGTGCAGCTCGGCGACACCCGGCAGCCTGGGCTGGCACCCACCTGCCTCTGTGCCTTCCTGCGAGCCCTGTGCTTGGGGCACTGTTGGAACTTGGACCACAGTTCAAGAACATTTCACCTTGCCAGGCAGGATTCGGACACTTAGGAAGCTCTGTATTCTCCCTGGGTGTCCCTTTCTCCCGGGCTGGCCAGAACTTAAAGAAACATCATCAGGGCGCTTGCTCCAAAGCCTACTTGGCCCCACAGCCTTTCCTAAAGTGCTTCCTCTCATCACACACCCAAGGGTAGCCGACGATACTTGATGTGAAGAACCAATGTCTGGTGGACCCTCTCCCCACCTCTAATCTAGCTAGTTTTGGGAACTTGCCTATTGGAGGTCTGGGCCATTTGTTCTGCTCTGTCCTTTAAAGGGCACTTGTTGCCTTTCATGAGCAGAAAACTAGAGCTGTTTGTAGATAATCAGCCTCTGTTTCCACCACCCTAATGGCTTTACCCTGTCAGACCGGGGAGTAGAGGCACATTAAAGATAGAGGGTGTCACTAAAGTGAGTGGCTAATTTGTCTAACGCGGGGAACAAAACCACAGAGAACTTGAAAAAAGAAAAGTTCCCTGTTTTTTTTTTTTCTCCATTTGTAGTTGCGGCAAACTGAAAGGGCTTCCGCACACACACACACACACACACACACACACACACACACACACACGCCCCCACCAACCCATTTGTTTTAAGTTCTGGCCAATTGAGAAACACCTTGGCAATCATTTAGAGTAAGTTACCTGCCATGTGTGCTTCCCATAAGGTTGGAATTTCCAAATTACTAATTGCAAGTGAACTTTCATCCCCAGAATCTGATGTGTTAAACAGTTAAAGCTCTAGAATTCATTTCTCTCAAATAATAATAGCTTTACACTCCACCAAACTCTTAGGTACCCCAAAAGGAAGAATGCTGGATCTATACACATGTCCTTCTGCTTTGAACCTGAGTTGCTTCTCTAGAGCTGTGACTCCAACTGGTGATCTGTTGATTCATCCTTGGGAAGCTGTATTGAAAGGGGTTTCTCATTTGTTTATGTAGTTTTTCCTTCAGACAATGTGGTATCCACATGTCTTTGGCAGATGTGCTTTAGATGTACAGCTCAATGTCTGTGGAGAGCTGACAGAGATGTCAGGAGAATGATTTCTATGGTAGTGTCTTTGTTGGTCTTAAAGCTAGGTGGCTCACACCATCATGAGAACCCACAGGCTTTGGCCTTCTTAGTGCCTGTCCTAATCAACTGATCGGGCAGACCAACAGGCTCATGTACAGAGCACCAGCAGGACCTTTCATGAGTGGCACAGTACCCATTGCAACTAAATGGCTCATGAAGTTGCCTCCTACAGTCGTGGGACCTAGGACCATAAAGCCGTTCTGTTTCTAGAAAAGATCTCTGTCTCTCATTTTTTTAAAAAAACTATTAACACGTTTCGTTTTGGTTAGGAAACCAGGAGCTTTTAATCACCAAGCAATCAAGAAATTAAGGAATTTCTACCATTCCCCTGCCCCTTCATAGTCCAAAGAAGAGGATTTCAATGACCTTTGTAGGTGGAATCCTGGTCTCCACCTGGGAAAGGAAATGATGACATGTTGTAGGTCTACTGATACTCGACAGGCATCAGTATATGAGGCAGGAAAAAATGCAAACTACTCATAATTAAGGGTAGGCAGAAGTGACAAGGTAAATGGCACATCCTGCACTTTGAAGACTCAATATTTTAACCATCTAATCATGGCAGCAAGTCAAATCCTATAATCAAGTTATAAAATCTTTTCACTGGCCTACCGCTTGGGCTGCAAAAATATGGTCACTTAGCTTCTTCAAGACTCAGTTTTCCTCAAGTGAAATGAGGATGTTGCGCTTACCTACCTCCACTTGGAAAGCTCAAGAGAAATAAGATAAGATACTGTCTATAAGATGCTAGTCTCATTTCGGGTTCCTGGTTAAAATGGGGTAAGGTAAAAGCATGGGGGATGACAGCTGGTGTTTGCCTTACACCTTCCGGACAACCTGAGTATATCTTATCTTGTTCACATGTTGACTAATCTGAGTTTAGTGACATCTCATGACAACGGCCAAAATTCCTAAACTTGGTCAGTAACAACCTGGAACAGAATTTTTAAAAAGGTGGCGGCATGATTTTTAAAATTGTAGTTAGCATCTGGTATGTATGTCATAGACACATACATACAGCATTGCACATGAATGAAGTTATTTATGATCTTTAGCTACGGATTTACAGAAGCTCAAAGAAAGAGAAATACACAAGATATTGAAAGAGGCAGAGCCATTTTTATTAACCTTTGTTATTCTTTAGCCACCAACCTCCCTCATTTTTCCAATGTCTTTAAGTATTAGAGAGGAAACAGATTTACTGGGAAATAGGGACCATTTGCAAACTATGGAGACAACATCAAAGACACTGTAGGTATAAATAAAGCATGAAAATGACTGGCTAAAAGCTCAGATGCAAATTCAGACAGAGCTGCCATAGAGTTGTAGCATGGCCACCATCTGTGGCCTTTACAAGCACCTTCCTGAGTCTATTTTCCTGTCTTTCCTGATGGAACTGTGTAGGAAGGACTTCATGGGATCATCATGTGAGTTAGATGGCATTAGCACATGAAGCACATGAAGTCAGCAGAGCAGCACAGTGCCTGGCATATCATAAACCTAGCTAGTAGGATGCTTCTGAAAGCACAGGGGTACATAGGCCTTGGGAAACTAAGCAGTGTGGTGAGCCTGGGGAAGTCTGTCATTCATCAGAAGAGATCATGAGGGTAGTTTCTGATGCACAGAGTAGGGGTAAGGTGTGTGAGGGGGGTGATGGACGATTCTTTAGAAGATGTAGATTTTGCACATTAGTCATCAAGGGTTTCAAAATAAATATTTTCTCTGAATCAGTTATATCTTTTTTTCTCTCTTTAAAAAATACTGTATTTATTATTTTTATTTTATGTGTATGAGTGTATTGCCTGCATGTATGTAAGTGCACCTGTGTCATACAATGTCAGCAGAGGTCAGAAGAGGGTGTCAGATCCCCTGGACCTTGAGTTACGGATGGTTGTTAGCCACCATGTGGGTGCTAGGAATCAAATCCAGATCCTCTGCAAGAGCAGCCTGTGTTCTTAACTGCTGAGTCACCTCCCCAGCCCCCTTTTCTCTCTCTTTTGTGGTACTAGAGATGGAGCAAGTACGGGGTGTTACGGGGCGAGGGCTACAATGCTAATCTCCAACCTCTAATTACATCACTTTTTATTAAGGCTGGATTATTGAATGTATTTATGGTGTTCACTAGACCCCCAGCTTTAAATGAGCACTTATAACACTTTAACTGGCTACAAGTGCTGTACCCTAGTCATTTGTTCATTATCATGTGCAAAACAGTCCACATTTTGCAATACTGAATTTTTAATTGTAGAACTAGGTTATTGTATTTTATGGCTTAATATAAAGCAACTTTTTCTCTTTTAGCCATATAAAAATTTTTCTGTCTCAGTTCTGAAGGATCCAGGCTCTCACTAGCTTAGGTAAAGAGCAAAAAGCGCTATTATTTTAAGGAAAAACTGAAATGTCTTCATTCATATTATGCTCTAGATACACAGTTACAGACAGAGCCAGGGATAGGGGATTTCTTGTTCTAATAAATCTTTGGCCTTTTCTGTCTTGTTATACATGGGTATTCTGACATAGGTCTAACTTATCTAATTGTCATACATAGTCTACATTTTCACTGAAACAGCAAACAGCTATTAACGGTGATCTTTTGGCCCAATTAGATCTTGTAGTAAAAAAATAATTTTCCTACTTTTCCTTCCAGGTGAAAGAAAGAAAGGGATAAAAGCAACACAGTAAGACATTTCCTCAAATTCACATCAAGATGGACACCATTTGCTTCAGGGCATCCTTTTGGCTGGCCCTGCTGGGAAGTGTAATCAGTGATAATCCTGACAGGTACCGCACTAATCTTAGCAGTCACGTGGAGGATTTCACCTCTTTTCAGGGGACAGAGTTCAACTTCCTGGGTACCACTCATCGACCCACTAATTTGGTCTTACCCAGCAATGGCTCAGTGCACAGCTATTGCCCACAGCAGACTAAAATCACATCAGCTTTCAAATACATTAACACTGTGATATCTTGTACTATTTTCATCGTGGGAATGGTGGGGAATGCAACTCTGCTCAGGATCATTTACCAGAACAAATGTATGAGGAACGGCCCCAACGCACTGATTGCCAGCCTGGCCCTCGGAGACCTTATCTATGTGGTCATTGATCTCCCCATCAATGTGTTTAAGGTAGGAAGTAACTACAGATGTATCTGCAGGTTCCAACACAGGCTTTCATTTCACAGGAATGCAGACTTTGCTGACCTCTGAAATTTTGCTTTGTTTTGCCTGAGAGTTATTTCTGCTATTTTAAATGGTATTTTATGATTTTATTGTTTGTTATGTATTATGTTTATTTTCTAACAGCTGTTAACAAAACAGTATTTCAAGGATGACTCTCAGAATGCTGGTGTTTCGTGCCAGTGATCAGCTTGCTGGTTGGATGGGCAATCTTGGGACAATGACTGGATTTTTTTGAGATTCAGTTTTTAGGGTGCGATGTACCAAGCTCTTAAAGTACCTAAAATAAATACAAATTCAGATTCAGTTAGCTTTTCAGTGGGCTGCTGTCCAGAATCCAGATATCCACAGTAGAACTTGACATGGAAAGCTTCTATTTTACTTGAGTGTCTAAATAGATGATTGAACTTAAAGGGTGTGCTGGCTTCCCTCGGTATCTTGTTGACTTGGAGATAATGAGGTCCATTCACTAGCAGGCCAGGATTGTAGTACTAACTAAAACCATTCAAAATAGGCCTGTTTACTACTTCACATTTTAGTTTATATTTATTGTGTGCCCGCCCCTGAGGTAGGCAACAGGGATCCAGAGACAAATAAGAAAAATTTGTGCTTGCATGGGAGATGTAAGTGTCCAACCGTGCTTTAGAGATTACCTAACCAAAATAAACTAAAACCAAGAAAAGGAACAAAATATTCCGTATCTGTTATGATAGTTTTTTGAGGAAAATTACTACAAAACATTAAGTATACTAAAATTCACATGAAATTGACATATGTATGCCACATTTATGAAATGCCTTTTTCCTAAACTCAGAGAAATCACCTTCCTCATACTTTCTCCTCCTCCCCTCTCTTCTCCCCCCACCCCCATCCTTCTATTCCTCCTTGCTTCTCCTTTGCCACAGAAACAAATTGTTCTTGGTGGTAAATTTCTGAAATATTACTTAAGCAAGTTTTGCCAGTTGAATTCTGAGAAAAGTGGTCTGAAGTAGCCTATCCATTTCTAATACATGTACTTAACACTGTAGTGAAATCACATGATCCTACCACACACATCAACATGCCAACAATAGAGATGAGAGCCAGAATTCAATTTTTGAGTATTAAAAATCTTTCAAAATTGTACTATGTACTTTTTGGAAAATTGGAGAAATTAGACAATGAATAAATCAAAAAGTTGCATATGATCTCATTCCACCAAAGAATATGAATGCGTGTGTTTCCTATTTGAAATTAGAAACGGGCTTTTGGAACCAAGCTGTGACACAAAGTTGAAAACGCATAGTTAATTTAAAATGTTTAACACATGCTACAAAATTTACTTTTATTCTTTTTAAAAGTTCTTAATTTCCCATTTATGAGTTATCATGTATATTCAACATTTGATTCTGTCATGACAGCTTTCTTTAATGATAGATTTGAAAAAGTTGACATGATTCAGTCAAGATTTGACTCTTCAGTCACAATTGAGTCTTATGAAATATTATTATTAAATTTTTATGGTTCATACGTAGACCCTAGTTAACTAGCTCATTTTTGTTCAAGAGAATAATTAACCATCTCTGAATGAACTCCCTGCTTCTGCTCCATCCAAAGTGTGCTACAAAAATTTGACTGCGCAAAGCAAGTTCTTGGCAAACCAGTACGTGCAGCCGCTGGGAATGGGACCTGCTTATCTTTAAGGTGTTTCTGACAGTTGCCAGACCATAATTCATTTCTTCTCCATAGTGAGTCAAATTATTTGAAATATTTCCAAATTTGATAGAAAGCCAAATAAAATTTGTTTTACCTCTCCAAAGCAATGAATACAAGTTAACACATTTGTATTTGACCATTTTTAATGTAGTTTGTACATTCAAAATAATGTAGCTAGTTGGACCATGTGTTTTTACATCACAGGTGTATACTTGTGTAATCCTGTTTTTCAAAACGTAGTATAATTTAGCCAACATTAATTTTAGAAAGTAAACCTTTTAAGCATTTTTAAGTAGTTATCTCAGTCTTTGTCAAAGAAAAGAAAAAAAGCACTGTTCTAAACTAAAAGGCCACAGTAGTGAAGGATTAGCTCCAGACTTTTCTGTCACCCTCTTTGCTAGGTCAGGAGACGCTGACCTGGCTGTTCCTCTGAATTCTGCCCTGGATAGTCAGGAGAAATCCTTCCAGACTGTGAGGTCAGGCCCCCTATTCCTCTTCTCCACAGCTGCCTCTTGGTAAAAAGTTTGAAGACATTCACTTCTCTCCCATCTCAGAGTCAAGGGTTTCAATGACCACATCTAGCCCACTATCTCTGAATTGCAGGGCTGGGAAGCAGATGTCCATCTCACTTGACCATTTAATTTAGGAACCCATGTAAATAATGTGCAGATTCTACTAAAGGGTGGATTTGTGAGCCTTCTTGTTCTTCCTCCTTATTAGAAGACTTAATTTGCAAGTAGAATGGCTGATCATATCTGCCATGCTCTTTAAAAGGATGGGTTTTCTGGGCTGGGAAGATGGTTCAACAGGTAATGTGCCTGGTGAGCAAACATGAGGACCTAAGTTCCATTCTCTACACTGGTGTAAAAAGCTATCCATGGCAGCACATGTCTGTGATCCCAGAGCTGTGGGGTAGAGACAGCTGGAGCCCAGGAGCTCACTAGTCAGCCAGTCTAGCCAAAATAGCAAGCTCAAGGTTCAGTGAGAGATTCTGTCTTGAAGAAATAGTAAGATAGCGATGCTGTTGAGGAAGAGAACCCAATGTCAATGTCTGGCCTCCACACGCATCTGCACAGGCAAGCTCATCTGTACACACACTTGCAAGTTTGTGCGTGTGCATATGCACATACTCACACTCAAAGATGAGTTTTCTAATCACATTTATTATTTTGTTTAGCAATCACATCAATTTTTTGACCTGAACATCCATTTTTTTCATTAGACAAACAGATTTTTTTAGGTTGTAGAATTCTTTTAAAATGTTTTCTATTGTTGGGGCCTTTACTTTTTTGTTACAATGCAGGTCTGCTGATGACAAATTCACTTAGTTGCATTAAAGGAAATTCCTTACTGGATGTGGTATTCTGGGTTGAATGAGTGTCTTTTTATCTCTTCCAGCACTTTCAGGATGGTATTTTATGGGCTTGGAGAGATGGCTCAGTGGTCAAGAGCACTTTTTGCTCTCGCAGAGGACCCAGTTCAGTTCCTAGCACCCACATGGCAGCTAACAGCTGTCCGTAACTCCAGTTCCAGGGAATCCGACAGCCTCTTCTGTCCTCTGTGGGCATTGCACTTACCTATATGCAGATAATACATGCATACACATAAAATAAAAATAATAAATACAATTTTAAAATGATGTTTTCTATTGCTTAAAGTGAGCCAAATGTTCTTAGAATTTCAGTTTCATTACATATATTCAAAGGTAGGGGCCAGCTTAGACTAGCATACAGGGTAATCAATTCATGGTTTCTTCATCTGGAAAGCACATGTTTCACAATCATACACCATGGGATCTGTTGCACTTGCTCTAATGTCCATTCAAGGCTTAGCTGCCTCAGAAGCTTTGGCACATGTTAAAGTGTGAGGCAGCAGTAACCACCTTCCTGTGAAGACAGCACCTGGTCTAAATGCTTCTTTAACCCATACATTATCTGTTTCTTCCCTCTGACTTTCAACTCAACATTCTCCACGTGGTATACCAGAAACAGTCTGCTTTGTAGTAAGCTAATAGAGCTAGGATGATAGTCTACCTCAGAGCACCAATACTCGGTCTGAAGCTATAACTTGGATTAAAACTGTCTTGTTCTCCTCCATAGAAATAAATTTGAAAACACCGTTCTTTATAATATTTAACTGCTGTTTGGTTTTACTTGCTACACGGGAATAGATGAGTTAAAGATAGGTTAGCTGCCTCTAGCTGAGTCTTAGTCAAAGGGAGAATCAGATTTTCCATGAGAAATTCTTCTGTGGTATATGCCTTATATCTAAAAATGTGATCAAAACACATGACCTGAAACTGTGTCTTACAGTCATGTCTGTTAACCTGCTCAGTCCTGAAGAGTCTTGGGTCAGAGTTCTCACACAAGGAAACAGGCTATGTGGAGATTGTATCTTGGGGGCAGTTAGACTTGCTGAGTCAGTTGTGTTACTATCACAAGAAGAAAAGCCATGATAAAGGGTCCTGTCTATTAACATTGTATTCACTGCCTCTCACTTAGAAAGGGATTATGCAGGGGTGCCCTATAGCTGAATGTGATGAAAACAAGCGCCAAATACCTGAGCTGTTTCCTATCTGTTATTAGCCATGCAGCTAGGCTTTCAAGACTCTGTATGGTGTCTGGACTCCAAATTTTCCAAAAGTTTCTTAACTATTCTCTGTATCTTCAGTTCCTGCCCCCCCCCACCCCGAACTTTGCTCTATTTATCAAGAGCCATTGCATCTTTCAAAAGATCCAGTAAATTTGCACCTGTGCCCACTACTTCCCATGTTTAGAAGTCAAGGCTTCCATATTCTGACCATGTATTTCCTGCTTCTACACACACACACACACACACACACACACACACACAGAGTCTGCTCTTGTAGGAATGCCATTGCTCCCCCTAAATAACATTCTCAGTGAGGTTGGATGTAGGCCCCAAATAGTTGCTACCAAGGCATTTACAGATCTTTAAAGAAAAATGGATTCAGTATACAGTGTATATGAGGCATTAGGAGGAAATAAGCCAAAAAATGAAGAGAAACAAAGTCACAAATCTAACAAAACATGAAGCAGAAGGAACAAAGAAAACAAATAAATGCCAGTTGCCTTCCATGTTTTCAGATATGCAAGAGAGCATCAAAGATAACCTATGACCAAGTTGATCAAAAGATAACTCAAATATTTAGTTGTTCAAAAATAGATATCATAATTGCAAAAGAATACTAACAAAAATGGGGAAGGAAGGAAGGAAAAGGAGCTGGCATACTC